AGAGAGAGAGAGAGAGAGAGAGAGAGAGAGAAGGGATGAATGTGTGAGAAATCTCAGGAGAAACATGAGAGCAAAAGTAAAAGGAGTTTCATACGAGACTTACGAAAAGGTTGACTTTAAAACTAGAGTCATAATAGAGTCACTCGGGAGGCAGCGAGGAGGGAGTAAAGTTTCCAGTTTAGAAAAAAAAGGTAACGGTCAAATGTGAGACTTTGATCCAGACCACTGATTCTAAAGCGTTTACGCTTTCATCGACGCAATTTAGATCATTTATAACGCGAGCTGGTTTGATCCTGCCTGTTAATTAGGGTCAGCCTTCGGCTGTGAATGATGCAACGTCCCATTAGAAGAAAGGAGACACTAATTGATAATAAATATGACAGATGGCATTTGTATATGGCAAATCCCCGCTCAACAGCAAGCTCTATGCGCTTCACAATCTATACTATTACCCCAGCAGACCCGAGAGCATTCTGAAACAACCTCAACTTCCTGGGAAGCATACAGAGCAAGCTGCAATTTATGGGCTCTAAGACACTAACACACTGACAAGGTCTTTCGCTGTCTATGGCCGGGTACCCATTCCCACCTGGGTGAAGTGAAGAAAATTCCTTTTAAGCGTCTTTCCCAAGGACACAACGTCGGGCCCGCGGCTCCAACTCCAGAACTACAACATCACGGTTGCGATCCCGGTATCCCTAGCGGGAATGGAACTCATATTTAAAGGGGGAAGGGAAGGGGGGGGGGAGGGGGCTACACCCCCAAAAGTCCCGATTCGGCTCAAAATTATGAATTTTGCGTTATAGGCAATTTTAGCTGCTTCAGCCTCTCTTACAACTATTTCGTAGCATTAGAACCCCCTAAAGCCGTATTTTTTCCCATACCAGGCATGTTTGTCACCACCATTTCCTCTTAAAGTCAATCTTTTATTTTTCTTTATCCCCCGTTTTCTAAAAACGCGGTTTTTCTATGTACTTTTTAAATATAACTCCATCATTTTTTTCCATCCAATCTTCATGGCATTTTCACAAAATGAAGAGAAGATGTAATACTAAAATTTGTCTGTTGAATTTTGATAGTATGTGGAATAGATTTTTGTTGCTGGTGTCTGGAGTGTGGATTTTCACGGATTATTGGCAAACTTGAAAACTACCTCAGGAAAAAAACTCACTAAAATATTTCTAATCCGTTTAGGAAACATTCAACAGACTAATTTGTAGATCTAATGTTTGCCAACATGCATGCAAAAAACAATCTATTTCCATGAAAAACAAGTGCGGTGTTCATTACGTCAGACAAGTCAATAAAATTCAATATGGCCGCGGTAGCCATGGAAGCGAAAGTTTTTTTCTCAAATTTTGATGGCCGATTTTAAGACTCCTTACTATGCTTGTTATATGTATTAAATTTGGTACAATTTAATCCACTGATAAGCAACATAGACTTCAGGTGTAGCCCCCCCC